TGAAAAGACCATACAGAGGGGTTACAATTACATGGGCAAAGTAATGAGTACATTTCTTATCAAGGATTGTTGCTTCCTCTTTTGTTTCCCATTCCCATCCCTTCCTATCTTCCCCTCCCTTCCCCCTTTCCCACCCCCCCCAAGTTATAAAGTTCGTTTTTCGATATAATGTCTTATACATCTCATTGTTGCAATGGGTCTGCCTGTATCCCTATTTAAACGATTTGTTTTTTCCCTTCCCCTCCACAAAGTACACCAACATCAAATACAGTGAAAACAAGAGTTATATCATGGGGGAAGGGACATACAAAGCAACAAAGAAATCATCTTATAAATGTGTTAGAAACAATCGCAAGAAAGAAAAAAACATTTGAATCCTTATCTTGGGGTTCATTTCACCTAACATCAACTTATCTGACCATTTCTGCTTGTCTCAGACATATATTAGTAACCAAATACTTTTTTTGTCTGAGGGTGCTTTGGTGCCTGAGACCCATGTATCGAGTGTGGCTGATTGTAGTGATTGTTGAAGTATTTGACTGATGCTTCTTCTGAGGAAATGTCAGTTCTCTCCATTCAGCGTGTGGTATGTCTTAAGTTTTCAGCCTAGTCCCATGTCCCACAATGGTACCAAAGCAGGACACTCTTCTTGCCTCAACTGAGGTTCTATAGTTGTATGTATGTAGTGGTTGCCCTAACGGGTTTTCCCTTTATTTCTTTAAGATGTAACTCAATATGTTTCTCTGTGAATGGCAGGGTTTCCATAAGGATTTGTTAGTTTATCTACTTTCTTCCAGCTGCTTCTGAGGGTGAATAAGAGTTGTGAGCTGAGTCATGCTGCTCATTCCAACAGGATTTCCTGCCCTTGTCCTCAACCACCACTATTACTCAGTATCTATGGCATAAGTAGGCCCTTTCCTTGTATGGTGAACTTCATCCATCTTGTAGGCCAAAGCTGTCATTAGAAATCAGTTAATTGCTATGTTTAGAAAGTTTTAGCCTAATAGTTACAAGTAAAATTGGATTTTTCTTGAAAACATAAAAAATGTGTTTTGGAATTGCCCATTTAGATTTTAGTTTTCATATAAATGCACGCATGTTCTTGGTGGTGTTACTAATATACTAGTCTTTGTAAAATCATATTTCTCAAAACATTGTTCATGCAAGTAAACAATATAAGAGAACTTACCTTCCTAGTTTATAGTTTCCTTTTGATATACAGTAAAGCTAGATTTTAAAATGTTTCATCACACTTTGCAGGTATATTATGTGAACTTGATGTTGATGTAAACGAAGGATCTCTAATGGAGCTGCAAGGACATATTGGAAGATTCCAGGTAATCAGTTAGTTCTTAATGTGTTTAAGTACCAGTTTTAAGATGTGTTACAAAAATATAACAGTCCTGTGAGTCTCCCTTTCTAACTCTGTGCCCCAGGTTTTGGCAACTCCTTTTAGCTGTTGGTACCGGATCTTTGCCATCTCTGAGTAATTATATTACTACATGATTTTCCCTATTGGAAATCATATTTTGCCTTTCCTTGGAAGATGAGAATTTTTATCTCGTTACTCCTTTTCTTCTACCATACAATATGTATATTTCATCCCTCCAAAAACTCAGTATAATTATGTCATAATTTTGGTTATATTAATATTTAGTGTTGGATTATTATGGCTGTATAAACATAATTTATGATTAAGCCACTGTTACTTTTCTATGAAGTGTTTTGTTTTCTCTGGGGTTGATGATTACAAAGTAGCAGGATACAAAACCAACATTAAATCAGTAGTTTTTCTGTATAGCAATAGTAAAAAGACTGAAAAATAAATCAGGAAAACAATCCTATTCACAGCTTCAAAAGTAAATACCTAGGAATAAACTAAGAAAATGAAAGACCTCTCTAATGAAAACATTATAAAACATAAAAGAAATTGAAGATGATGTTAGCACGTCAAAAGGCCTCATTTTAATTTTCATTTGTTTATTGACTGGTGTTTCATTTAACGAGTACCTCCGAAATTACTAAATTGTTTTTTGTATGAAGCATAAAATTCCTTGACAAGCATTTAAGCTTTTTTGAGGATTTGTTTCTAAAATAAGTAGCATTCTTTTTTTTTTTTTGGTCAGTTATGGTGCTTGAACTTTGGGCCTGAGTGCTGTCTCTCAGCTCTTCAGCTTAAGGCTAGCTCTCTACCACTTGAGCCACAGGGCCACTTCCAGTTTTTGAGTGGCTTATTGGAGATAAGAGTCTCAAGGACTTTCCTGCCTGGGCTGGCTTTGAACTGTGATCATCAGATCTCAGCCTCCTGAGTAGCTAGGATTACAGGCAGGCATGAGCCATCTGCGCCCAGCTACATTCATCTTCTTTTCTAGCAGGGCTTCTTACTTCTTGGGAAGTAGAATCCAAAACCTTTCAAGAGTGATTCCACTCTCCACTGAGGCTTTATCATCCTCAAGAAAGACAGGTCGCTAATTTCAACACATTTGGCTAGATATCAACAAACTTTCTTTCTTTTTAGCGCCAGTGCTTAGGACTGCTAAGTCGCTTTGGTGGTGCTGACAGACTACGGCAGTTTAAATTTCAAGATGACAATGTGGATCGTGATAGGGTGAACAAGAAGGATGAGATGGAACTGGCCATGCAGCAGGTAGGAAGGATCAGAGGACGTGTGCAGTTTTACTAACTGCCTTGTTTTCCTTCTCTCTGTATTTCTATAATGTTAGGGCATTAGTGAACTAATGTTTTTGTTGCTGCCACTGCTCTTTCACTGCAGATTTGTGCCAATGTAATGGAATACTGCCAGTCACTTATGCTGCAGAGCTCCCCCACCTCCCAGCATGCAGTGTGTCTTTTCACACCTAGCCTTTCAGAGACCATTAACAGAGATGGACCACGGCAAGGTGAGCCTGATTCTTTTCCAATGTCTGAGGAACACAAAGTTGTTATGGTTATGACACAGCTTGGATACAGTAAGACACAATTTTTCTTTATGAGTTAGTAATGAACACATTTCAAAATGACTTTTTAAAGGATGTCTTGAATCTCCACTTTCATGCATTTTGGGCATTAAATATTATCTCCAATTTGAACTTGAAATTGCTATGGTACTTCCAAGATATCACTCAGTCATCAGAAGGAACTGTTCTAGTTTCAGCACAAACTGTCTCTAGCATGCCTTTTTTACTGCTGTCTAATTCTTCTTCCTTTTGTGGAGAGATTCCACTCGTCAATGTATTTTGTTTGGAAGGTGGCCAGCTAAAAGGCAAATCACTTTGTTTTGCCAGATGGAGCTGTTGCAGTAAGAGACTTGTTTAATTTATATCCAGTTGTATTTAGTTTATTGACTCTTTGGTAGTATAACTTACATTGTCAATTTTGAAACCAGAGCCATTAGGGGAGGTAAGAATTATTTGCTTGGGATCAGGAGCTCCCAAAATTTTGTGTTTGGTTTGTGTATGTATAGGGGAGGGTAACTAAAGGCATATAACTTAAAGTTGTAAAAGAGGTCTTAACCAAGTAAAAGAGAGAGGTTCTATTAATGTCCACCAACTATATTTCTTTACCCTCTCAAGGTCCCAAGCTTACTGTATCTGATTATACTAGGACCTAGCTAATTTTTTTTCCAGTGGTCAGTGGTGGTGAAATAGTCTTGAGTTGGCATTAATGATAATTTACGTGATCTTAAGTTATGGAGCATACATTAAAAAAATTGATCATTTGGAATCCATATGAAATTCTTCTAAATAGAACACTGTTTTATATCATCTATTAGATACCCAAGCTCCAGTAGTTCCATATTGGCGCCTGCCTGGTTTGGGGATTATCGTCTACCTACTGAAACAGAGTGCCAGTGATTTCTTCACTTATTATGACAGTCACCGACGCAGTGTCAACAAGCTACAGAATGTAGAGCAACTTCCACCTGATGAGATAAAAGAGGTATGAGTCTCACACTGAGCTGTGGGGACTTGGGAAATCATTGCTTTTACCAGTAAAAGCTAGAGAATAGGTTTCAGACTTGGGAGTAAGTCTGAGGTTTTCAATGTGGCTGAAGGAAGTCTTATCACCTTCATCCCATCCTTGTAACAGACACTAATGACTGAAAAATAATCAAGTGGCTCCTGTTCAAGGAGATAGAGAGGAAGTTAGCCTTTGAGTAAAAAGTTTTGGGTAGTTTCTACTCTAATATCTGTGTGGACAAACTTTAAACTGCCGATGTTTTTTGCAGTAGAACTTAGAGATAACTTTCTCTGTGCCTCCAGCATCTTTGATTCCCATTGAGTGAATTTCTCAAATGATAGACTTGCCACCTCCTAGTGACCCAGAATTATTCCTCTATATTTACTCTAACTAAGGATGCTGAGTTACAATTTTCTTCCTTGGTACCTTCCCTTCTTTTCCATGTGGCACAGCTGAGTGGTAAGGCATTTCTTGTTTGGTTCATTTCCTGGGCAGCACGAAAGCTTCCGGTGTTTTATGCAGCCTGAATGTTGAACCATTCAGTTCACACCAGACTGAACAATCCACATCATTCCTGTGAGTAGTCAAGGCCTACTGCCGTTACTACTCTTGTGGCAATCACATTGAACATTTATAAAGCCATTCTCATTTTTTATGTTGAAGAAATGGAGGCACAGAAGGCTTGAAGAACTTCTACAGAAGTAGCAGGAAAGAGTGAGGCAGGAGCTACTGGCTAGGTTCAGGTAATCCCTGAAACTGTGGCTTGTAGTCGGCAGTTTTTTCTCTGTTTTGTGTTATTGATCTGCAATGCCAGAATAGCTTTCTGTTGGTGTGTTCAGGCTGTTAATTCCAATACTTCTTGGGGGTATCAAAATGTTAGGATATCCTGGTCCTTTGTAGAAGTGGGGTAGTATTTGTATGTAACTTAAACACATCCTTCTGTGTGGTTAAATCAGTTTAGATTACCTAATATACTACGTAAATGGTTATTGGACTATTTTATTTGTAGATTTAATGACATTAGTCATTAAAAAAATGATCCATAGTTGGTTACACCTGTGCTATAAAACCTGTAGATACGGAGAGCCAGGTGAGAGGAACTGCTCCCATAAGAAGCGGGTGGTACCCCACAAGGCCCACTTCATTGTACCTTCTGTCAAATAGCAGAAATTACTGCTGTGTTCATGACTGACTTGTGAAGTACTTGGGAGGATTTGGTTGTTGACTACATGTTTGTTGTACTTAGAAGTTACTCTCCATTTCCTTCATAAAAATTCTCCATGGCATTGTTTGACCTACTCCTTGGAAAACCTGTTTTTGTTTTTAATGCGACAAGCAATTCAGGGGTGGTGGACTTCTTAGGTTGGAGTTGTCTAGAAGGAAGGAGGTGAACATTGATTGTGAATTTGTTTCTTTGTCTCTAATGTTTAGACAATAAACTCTGTTTGTGAGAAGGTGTAAATTTATTGCTTTTCCTAGCACTTATCACAGTGACCTCCTCATGGTATTTTTGGGTTGATTGTTACAGTTTATTGCCATTTTAATACTACATTTATTTCTCTTATAGTTGTGTCAGTCTGTGATGCCTGCTGGTGTTGATAAAATCTCCACTGCCCAAAAATACGTTCTAGCAAGAAGGCGTTTGGTGAAGTTGATCAACAACCGAGCTAAACTGCTCTCCCTTTGTTCCTGTATCCTTTACGCAGTCAGAGGCTTGAGTGCTGACCTTTACATGAAGGAAATATTTACTTATTCTCACATTATTTTGGCCATTAAAACCAGATGGAAAAAGATATAATTACTGCTCATTTCCAAATTGTAATTTTTTTCTTATGATTTTTTTCATGTGTATGCTGGTGAACTCAGGACCTGAATGCTGTCCTGAGATTTTGTGCTCAAGGGTAGTGCTCTATTTCCACTTCTAGCTTTTTGGTGGTTCATTAGAGATTATCACAGACTTTCCTGTCTAGGGTGGCTTCAAACCATGATCTTCAGATCTCAGCCTCCTTCCTACATAGCTAGAATTCCAGGTGGCACGAGCCACCTAGCAATTTTTTAAAAATTACTTTTTAGCAGAACAGCAAGAGCTATTAACCTATGGAGACCCTTTCTGTCCTGGTAGGCTGTAAGGACTCAGCACCATGCATCTCCTCCTCCCTTAGCACATAGCTGCTCTCTCTGTAAGCATGTTCAGGGCCTCCTTGCCTTACCCTGTGGTTTTGGCTATGTAAATGAGTATGGGCTCTCCTTTCTCTCCTCAGAAACTTCCTAAAAAAACACGTGCTAGTTATTGTCCTTTAATCTGAATTCAGTTATCATAGAGACCTGCCTGTTTATTTTTTGGCGCCACCTGGAGTACTACTTGTTACATTGCACACCCACAGACTCTCAAGATTCCTTGTTTGCCTCTAGAACTTTATTTAAAAGCAGAAGAATACAAGGTAAATTTTATTCTGAAAATGAATGAACCATTAGTGCCTATATATTTAATGGTTTGATACTCATATTGTACTCAAGCTGGTCTAAAAGTCCTGGGTTCCGTGATTTCCTGCCTCTGCCTCTCAAGCAGCTGGTACCTCTATCTCCTGCCACACAGAGCTATCTATTTATTATGTCTCAGATTACTAAAAGTAATTTGTATAATTGAGAGCTATTTAGTAGAGATGACTATTTTCTGTATTTACTTTCTGTCCATGTGAAATTGTTTTAGTATTATAGACATTCTTTAAGCGTCTTGCAGTTCAGTGCTGATTTAGCTGCAGAATCTCCTGTGCAAAATAATTTTTCAGAACACAAGAAAAGGACCAGCCATGGTGAGTTTTGTTGCTGGAGTAAGCATCAGACTGATGAACATGTACAGTAGGTAGGAAGAGACAGAAGAAAAGCATGAGAACCTGTCCTGAACTACTGAAATGCTTCTCAGGGGCTTCCACTGCTGAAGGTTGAAACTTAGGTTCCCAGTCTTGACCTACGTTTTCATGATAGTTTTGCTGGGTGTCAGCCAGCTCCTCTCCTGTGCAGTACATAGATACTTGCCATATGAGTTTGACTGTGTCTTTATCTCTAGATTCCTTCTCCTCAGATGCCAATCTGGATTTTCGAAGTATGCTGACTGTAGTGAGCCAACATGATCTAGACCAGGTGAGCTTCTGTTCTCATACCCGTTTCCTTTTTACTAAAGTAGGCAGGAAGCCTGATATGTTAATAAAGATTGAATTTTGGCTTGACCCTCCATTTCTTTACAAAGTGGGATGGGAACTCAAATCTCAAGGATCTTGCCAGAACTAAATGAGGCTTCATCTGTGTGAAAAGGTAGAGGGCCTGGAATGGAGGTAAATAATCGGTGATTGGTAGGCATTACCAGCTCTATTCACTTTCTATCACTGCAACAAAATACTTAATACAGAGAAAAGTGGGTAGTTTTAAGAGTTCCATCTCAAGAATGGGCAGACCCATTGCTTTGGCCTCTGGTGGGCATGCTAGATGGCAGGTAGAGCAAACTACTTATCCTTATCATGGCCAGGAAGCAGAAGAAAGAAAAAGAATCATTGTTTCACAGTCCTTTTCAAGACATCCCAAGTGAATTGAGTATCTCCTACTAGGTTTTAAAGGTCCCTCCACCTCCCAGTGGTACCACTGTGAGCACAGGCCTTAAGCATGTGAATTTAGGCACACACTATCACTTATTTTAGGTAATTACTAGAAATAGCGCAACCATTATAAATTCTACTGTAGCATTGTGATCTTAGTAATAGCTTAATCAGTAGTGGAAACAAATGAAGACCATTCCAAAACAAAGTGAAACCTCATTAGATTCATAGTTTTTATTTCTCTTCTCTTCTCTTTTTCCTTTTCTTTTTTTTCTTTTTTGCAAATGGAGAGCATTCCAAAACAAAGTGAAACCTCATTAGAGTCATAGATTTGTTTTGTTTTGTTTTTGCAGTTTTTAGTATGTGCTTCATTTATGTCTATCATAATGGCTGAATAGTTATGTTCAGTCCAGAAGGATGTTGGAATCTAGAGCAATCTGCTTAACAGCAATGTTGTTAAGTTTTGTTTTGTTTTTGATAAAGCAGGTATCAGGGTATTTGTTATTTGGAAAGAGAAGTTATAGCTAGGTGTGCTTCTAGCCCTCTGTGTGTCCTTAGCCAGGAGCTGATAAAACCACTGCTCGCCTCTCTTCCCCCTTCCTTGCTGCCTGTCTTATAGCTGAGGTTGGGTTTTTCCCAAGGATACTTTTACTTTTGTTGTTGTTGGTGGTTGTGGGGATTGAACTCTGGGCTTGGGTGTTGTCCCTGCGCTCTTTAGCTCAAGTTGAGTGCTCTTCCATTTGAGCCACAGCACCACTTCCGGTTTTCTAGTGGTTTATTGGAGGTAAGAGTCTCACAAACTTTCCTACCTGGGCTGGCTTTGAACCGTGATCCTCAGATCTCAGCTTCCTGAGTAGCTAGGATTACAGGTGTGAGCCACTGGCACCCGGCCCAAGGGCACTTTTAGAAGCCTTTTGGCTCAGCTGGCTAGATGTCCTAGGTAACACACACTAACTCTAGTCCTGGACACATTTGCCTCTTTAATATCTATAAAGTGAGTTTTTTTTTGGCCTGGCTTGTTTAGGAAGGCTGGTATTTGGTGAGGCCATGTGCAGAATTAGCAAAAAATAAGTTATCCTGATGTTTTAATAAATGTTAAATTTATTTTTACTTATTTTTTTGTTGTGGGGCTTGAACTCTGGGCCTGGGCGCTGTCCCTGAGCTCTTCAGCTCAAGGCAAGTGCTCTACCACTTGAGCGACAGCACCATTTCCTACATATTAAATTAATGATTTGCCGGGCGCTGGTGGCTCATGCCTGTAATCCTAGCTACTCAGGAGGCTGAGATCTGAGGATCGAGGTTCAAAGCCAGCCTGGGCAGGAGAGACCGTGAGACTCCTATCTCCAATAAAACCACCAGAAAACTGGAAGTGACGCTGTAGCTCAAGTGGTAGAGTGCTTGCCTTGAGCTGAAGAGCTGTGGGACAGCGCCCAAGCCCAGAGTTCAAGCCCCACGACCGACCAAAAAAAAAAAATTTAATGATTTGTTTCTTTTACACTGGTCTGTTGCAAAGTTAGGGAGAAAATAGCCTAAGTAATTGTACTCTGTGCTGTGATTTGAGTATGAAAGTAGGTAGGTTTATGAATACTAAAGCACGTCCCAGGCTGCTCCATCTACTTGTTGATACTCTTAAAAATAGAGTCGGGGCTGGGATATGGCTCTGTAGCAAAACACATGATAGCATGCATGAGACTCCAAAACTGAAAAAAGAGACAGACAGATATGCAAATGGGTATTTAAACATTACAAAATAAAATGGAAAGAAATAGCTTTTTCCCAACCTACCACTTCTTTCTTCCACTAAATAAAACTGAACAGTTTTTGGTGTGCTTCTTTAGGAATTGTTTTTGTGTATATCAGCGTATCAGTGTCAATAGTACCTGCTATTCAAAACATTAAAAATTTTACATGTTTATACAAGCAGGGAACAAAAAAAACCCACTAGGATCATACAAAAAATGAGAAAACTATGAATATTTAATTTTTCAATCCCCAAATATTTTGCAATGGAAAGACCACATTACAAAAGAGCAAAAGTGTTTTCAGTCAGTGACATAGAATAAAAAAGTACTTGAGTCAGTAGTTTTAATCATATGATGTTAATCTGTGTTACTTATAGCTTCAGTCTGGTGCTGTGAATGCTTTTGGAGAATCACTACAAAAGAAGCTTCTGGACATTGAAGGACTGTATTCAAAAGTCCGGTCTCGCCATAGTTTCACCCAGGCTCTCGTGAGACGGATCCGTGGGCTGCTGAGGATATCGAGGAGCTGAGCCTTGCTGACGCCGGGGAGAGGGCTGAGGACACTGCCTCCTTTTTATAAATGACTTTCTTTCTAAATTATGACCAAAATATTTTGATATTTCTTTCTTTATATATAGACATCTTTTCTGTACATTTTTTGGTCTGATTTCATCTTCACAAATAAAAAATAAATACTTTTTAAAAAAACAAAGCCAATCTGTAATCGGTCTTTAAAACTTTTAGCCAGGAAGCAATCAGCACTTCCTGCCGTGGCTCTGACCATGTGGTAGTTTCCCCTAATGTGAAAGTCAGTGCATAGTCTGGAAATTCTAATTCTTTCCCCACTTTGAACATGTATTACACTTTTATGATATCCAGGGTTACTCTGTAGGCTGGAGTTGGGAAGAAACCATAGCAGTGTTTGTGTGCTCAGAACTGTAAATACTGTTTTATAGGAATGTCTTAAAAGGCCAAAAAATCAACTTTTGCCAGTCACCTGTGGCTCATGCCTGTAATCCTAATTTAGCTTGGGAGGCTGTCATCCTGGGGATTGCTGTTAAAGCCAGGGCAGGCACATAAAGTCCTTACGTGTTTCCAAAACAACCAACAAAAGCAGGACTGGGTGGTCTGTCTCAAGTAGCAGATCACCATCCTTGAGTAAGTAAGCTGAGTGAATTCAACACCCAATATCAGAAAAAAAATTATTAGCTTTTGTTTTTTTTTTTTTTAAATATGGGGTCTGAGAAGGTGTTCAGTGGTAGAGTGCTTACCTTGTATATGTCAGACCCTAGGTTCGATTCCTCAGCACCACATAAGCAGAAAAAGCCTGAAGTGGCGCTGTGGCTCAGGGACGGAGTCCAGGCCCAGAGTTCAGGCCCCATGAAAAAAATTGTTAAATGATAATATACTTTGCATGTTTCTTTGAAATAATTGTGAAATTTCTCAATCATCTGCCTCTTTTTTTTTTTTTTCCTGGGGGGAGAGGAGGTCCGGTCATGGGGCCTGAACTCTGGGCCTGGGCACTGTCCCTCAGCTCTTCAGCTCAAGGCTAGCGCTCTACCACTTGAGCCACAGCGCCACTTCTGGCTTTTTTCTTTTTGCTTATGTGGTGCTGAGGAATTGAACCCAGGGCCTCATGCATGCAAGGCAAGCACTCTACCACTGAGCCACTTCCCAGCCCTCATCTGCCTCTATCAATTGTGATGACTACTAGTAGGGCAAAAAAATTATATAATGGCGAAAGTTGTAGGTCAGTGGTAGAAGGTTCTTCAACATGTGTGAAGTGCTAGATTTGATTCCCAGTACTGCAAAAAACATGATATAATAGCTTTATTTCCTGTCCAATTATGTTTATATTCAAGTAACTACATCATTTGAAAGTTTATTTTCCTTTTCCCATCCATCAGTTACTAATGTACAGGCTAAAGACTCTTAAAGAGGAAAGACAGACTGCTAATAGGAACAGAGTCGGTTCTCATGTAGAAGCAGAAAATTAATAATTTATCCCAAAGTATATAGTGTTGCTTTTTTGTTTTTAATCTTATAAAAGTTTCAAAGCTTTTAAGTATCCTATTAAAAAAAGAAAAGATTGGCCATTGTTGTATGTTGACATCCATTTATTTCCTACTAGTTATAAGCATTAGTCCTTAGCATTCTATAAGTAGAAATCTTGGAGATGAATTGTCTCAGGGCTTGAACTCAGTGTCTAGGTGCTGTCCCTGAGCCTTTTAAAAAATTATTTTCAGAACTGGGTGCCAGTGGCTCCCGCCTGTAATCCTAGACTCTCAGGAGGCTGAGTTCTGAAGATCACAGTTCAAAGCCATTCTGGGCAGGAAAGTCTGTGAGACTCTTATCTCTAACCACCAGTAGTAGATTGCTTGCCTAGCATGCATGAAGCCATGGGTTCAGTTCCTTAGTACCACAAAATCAGAAAAAGCTGGAAGTAGTGCTATGGCTCAAGTGGTAGAGTGCCAGCTTTGAGCAAAAGAAGCTCAAGGACAGTACTCAGATCCTGAGTTCAAGCCCCAGGACTGGCACCAAGAAAAAAAAATTATTTTGCAAAACAAAAATTATTTTGCAATCCAAGGCTAGTACTCTACCACTTGAGCCAAAACTCTACTTCTTTCTTTTGGTAGTTCGTTGGAAATAAGAGTCTCAAACTTTCCTGCTCCAGCTGGCTTCAAACTGAGATCCTCAGATCTCAGCTTCCTGAGTAGCTAGGATTACAGGCATGAGCCACTGGCTCTAGTAATATTAAGGCTTTAGTTTTTGGCTTTTCTCTGTGGATATTTCCTCCCATTCGGTTGGGTTATCTTTTCAACTTAAAATAGTGTAGATGTTGTATATTTTAATGTGTCAGATCTATCAGTCTTTTCCTTGGTAGTGCTTACTCTTTATAGTCTTGATATTTTTTCTCCAATCTGAGATGATAGACTATTATTTATGGTGATGTATTTCAGTGTTACATTTCTACCAGTGTACCCTAGTGTATTCCAATCAGTTGTCTGTTTCCTATGTTTCTTTTTCTCTCTCCCCGTTTCCTGTCTTCCTTTTCCCCTTGCTTTATTCTATCATTTTCTCCTTTTCTCTGTTTTTTTGAATTTGCATTATTATTAAGCAGTTGTATAAAGGGGTTACAATTCCGTAAACTTGATCAATGACACTCCTTCCATTGTTCTCCCGTTTTTCTCCTTCCCTGCTAGTTTCGTGTTTCAGATTTTACATAATGTACACCGAATACAATCAGTGCATTTGCTCATCCCTCCTTTCATGTGCTCCCCCCCCAATTTTGTCAACTTTTTTTCTGCAGGGAGTAGAAATGTGATGATATGTAATGAAGCAGATGTAGAAAAGCAGAAATGGAGCGAACGTTTTGTACTCCCACGGTTGTGCACTGCAGCTTCATAATGTAGTAAGCTACTGTGATTTGGTTTTCTACTGTTTGGAACCAGTAAGGAAAGGGTCACAGACAAGAGTAGTCTTATCGTGCGTGTGTGTCCCCGGGGCAGGCCAGCAGTTTTAACAGGGTCCTTCACAGGACCTCATTTGCTTCCCACAACAGTCCAGCTCGGTGTGTAGAGTTGGAAGTCAGACTTCCAGGATGTTAGCTAATGTTTTCCACCAAGGGGTGCAAGAAGTCACGGCTTTAGGTCTTGAATTCTGAGAGCTCTGCTCAAGGACAGACATCCCAACAAAGATAGACAGCTTCTGACAGAAGCAGCTCCCCTGTGGATCCTGGCATCTAGGGCTGCCCTCCCCTCGCTCTGTCCACAGCCATAGAACTCATATTTTTCCCTCCGACTTGTTGGAAAGCCGAGGAGTGTACTGGAGCTCAGGATGCAAATGACAAAGTACCCGGCCGTCTTCAACGAGCATGCGTAACGGGCTCCTGGGACTTTGGAAACCCACGGCCCCAGAGCGGGCGCCCTGCTCACGCTGGCTGGGACCCGCCGCCTCCAGCCTCCTGTCTTCAAGGCCGGAGAGCCTGAGCCTGGCTGTGCAGCAGCTTGGTTGGCGCCCGTGAAGTAATGCAGACGCCCGGGCCGCAGGGCACCCGGCACCTGGCTGCCTCGGCCTACGCGGCGACGCTCGGGCGCTCCACCAGGGGGCGCCGGTGTGACGAGCCGCTGTCGGGAACAGGAAGGCGGGCGGGGCGGGGCCGGAGGGGCCAGGAGGGGC